GTTTCCACAGGCCGCTTCTGCTCAGCAGCTCCTGCAAGAACTGACCCCGGACTGCCTGTGGGTAGGCTCTTGGCAAAGACCTTCCAGAACAGGGTGGTTTCTTTTTTTTTTATTATTTATTTGAGACGGGGTCTCACTCTTGCTCAGGCTGGTCTCCAACTCCTGACCTCAAGCGATCCTCCTGCCTCGGCCTCCCAGAGTGCTGGGATTACAGGCGTGAGCCACCGCGCCCGGCCAGAACAGTGTGTTTTCTGAGAGTAGAAAGGAGGAAACTAATAACAACAGCCCTGTGAGCTGGCTGCTTTTATAAGATGCCTAATCTTGCCCAAGAGCTAAGTAAATATTCCCTCCTTACCAAAAAATGGGTTCCTCTACAGGTCACTTGGGTGAGAGCACCGAACGTTTTGAGTCTTCCAGTGATTCGTGTGGCCCCAGGCAAGCGGCTGACTTCCCTTTCCAATCCGTCAGATTGGAGACCACGTGCCTCGTAGGTGTCGGGAGGCTCAAGACCAAAGGCAGCACTGTCTGAGAACACCACGGAGTGCTGTTGACACAGTTCTGCAGCGCCGAGGATACATAGGACCTCCGTACGTGTGCACTGGTGCCCCTCATCCTCGCGGATATGTTTGAAGACGCCAAGCGGATGCCTGAAACCTTGGATGGTACCGAACCCTAGATATACTGTTTTTTTTGCTATACATTCACCCATACCTATGATAAAGTTTAATTGATAAATTAGGCACAGTAAGAGACTAACTAATAACTGATACTAAAATATTACAGTATAGTGTAATAAAAGTCACGTGAATGTGGTCTCTCTCTCTCAAAATATCTTACTGTACTTTACTCACCTGTTTTGGAGCCTCTGTTGACTGCAGGTGACTGAAACTGAGGGGGACTACTGTAGTTTCTTTTCCAACTATGGGACTGAGACTTAAAAATCTACTAGATTAAATATTTGTCGAATGGAGCTGCCTAAGGCCTACAGAATGACAGCTGTAACACGAAAGTATTGCACCAACGTTTCTGTCACCTTTTGCTAAGCCAATAGACTTAAGTTTATAAAAGCCTCAACTTGGTGTTCACGTCACAGTAGTAGACAAATAGAACTCTCTCCTATAACAACACATGACAGATGCGAGAAAAGACCGGTTAGCAGGCTAGTCGTATGACACAGAGGACTTTATGTACTCCTGGGTCCACATCTTTCGCTGGGCTGTGTATACATTGTCATCTGGTCATTATAACAGCTGTCATTGTAACTGCTAAAGAATGGTTACGTTTTAGTCCTTTAACGTTGGTGACAAGGCAGTGAAGGGTCTCCAGGGCGATGGGATGCTCACTCACTTTTCACTGATGTGATACTTACATATTTGAAAACCACTAAAATATACGATTTGGGGGGATAGCCCTGAGAAACGTGGGGTGTGACACATTTTGAATAGAAGAGAATGTTTTAGAGTGATTCCTGGTCCCTTGAAAGTGTCGATGACACCCACCGCATAGGGAAGAGGTGGTGAAGGGATGTGATCTATCTAAAGTCAGGAGCCGAGGCTGTCGTAAGGAGGAAAATCCACTTCCGATTTTACTGTGCTTGTTTCATACCAGTTGCTGCAGAAATAAATATTGTATATTTGTTTCCAGCTTATTTTTTGACTTCTTTGAGTCTCAAGATACTTTGGAAAACTTCGATTAGCCAAAGTAATTTTTTTGTACCTTGGAATAAGGCATATTTTAAGGTGGTTTTCCTAATATTACAAAATACACCCTCGTAAGAGTTCAAACAATGTAGAAAAACAAGAATCCCTTCCAGTCCTTCTGTGTCATTTCTACCCACATCCCCACCATTTTTTCCTTGCTTAATAATCTGTTCAAGTCAGGAGATAAACTGAATTTATTCTCTTTATGTTTGCCCAATAGTCCACAGAGAGGATATACCATACTTACTCAACCATTCACTGTTGATAGATTTTCATTTTTTGTCTGTTTTTTCCCACAAGTTAGAGTGAAATAAGCATTTTTCTTTTTCTTTTTATTTAATTAGTTAAATTTTTAGAAATGGGATCTCACTCTGACGCCCAGGTTATAGTGCAGTGGCATCATCATAGCTCACTGCAGCCTTGAACTCCTGGGCTCAGGCAATCCTCCTACCTCAACCTCTGGAGTAGCTGAGACTGCAGACACACACCACCATGCCTGGCAATTTTTAAGTTTTTTTTTAGAGTAAGGATCTCATGGGTCTTGCTATGTTGCCCAGGCTGGTCTTGAACTCCTGGCCACAGTGATCCTCCTGCCTTGGCCTCCCTGAGTGCTGGGATTACAGGCCTGAGCCACCGCCCTGGCCAAGAGATCAGCATTCTTAAACATGGGTCCTGGCACTTTTATTTCTATAGATTCCCACTAATGGGAACCAAATGGTGATAATGGGCCCAGGGATACACATATGTAAAATTTAAAGTTCAGGCCGGGCGCGGTGGCTCACGCCTGTAATCCTAGCACTCTGGGAGGCCGAGGCGGGCGGATTGTTTGAGCTCAGGAGTTCGAGACCAGCCTGAGCAAGAGCGAGACCCCCTCTATACTAAAAATAGAAAGACATTGACTGGACAACTAAAAATATATAGAAAAAATTAGCCGGGCATGGTGGCGCATGCCTGTAATCCTAGCTCTCTGGGAGGCCGAGGCAGGAGGATCGCTTGAGCCCAGGAGTTTGAGGTTGTTGTGAGCTAGGATGATGCCACGGCACTCTAGCCTGGGCAACACAGTGAGACTCTGTCTCAAAAAAAAAAAAAAAATTTAAAGTTCAATATTTAGAGCAATTTACAATCCTGTGAGTCACATAGGGCAGGACTTGACTCTATCTACATTTTTTGCGTGCCAAATGGGCAAAACTTACTGTCCCCGTGTTGCGTTTTCTTGACTGCGGAGGAGCCTCGGGGACATTCCTCTTGACTCTTGCCCCTTGGAACTGCCCCTTCAGGAAATTGCCTGCCTAGTCCCCATTTCCTGGTGACGTTTTTGTTTTGTTTTGTTTTTAATAATTTATAGGAGCTCTTTGTATAGTAGGAATATTTACCCTTTGCAGCCATAAAACGTTGCGTACATGTTTCTCCTGATTTTTGTCTTTTACCTTTGTTGAGAACATTTTTTATGTATTTTTTTCCTTTATAGAATCTGGATTTCCAGCTTTGCTTATTAAGAAGGTTCTTTAACATCTCAGGGTTGTAGAAATACTCTCCTAAATTTTATTCCAATACAGTCTTTT